CAAAGAATTCATCAAAGTCTAGGGCACACTCACGGCTTCTGACAATCCTGTAGGTTTCAATGAGATCGCCGCGCAGTTGCCTGTAATTTAGAGGAAACAGATTTAGTTCGGTCAGCCTGGTTTCGTAAGGCAAATGATGAAGATTCTTGACCATCTTCGTAGCCATCGCCTGTAATCTTTCCAGTCTTTGATAATCTTTCTTCAACCACGGTCGCCAGGTCTGGACTGCATACTCTAAGTGAGACCGGACGAATGCCCCATAGGTTTTCCCGAATAGCACTTTATCGATCTGCACAAATCCTAGCCTCGGCGCAAATAACACCCTTATCGCACTTTTGGCTGCCCTTTAACACTGTGAAGATGGTTTCAGCGAGGAGGTCATTAGGACGCCCAGGTCTTTCTGTTCCACTACATTCGAAAGGGGCTGACCACCAAGGACGTATTGAAAGGAATCGTCCTTCTTACTGGTCCGTCTGGTGTGGAGTCTCAGGACTACACATTTGTCCACATTAAAATTGAGGAGCCAGCGAGCTGACCAACTGTTTAGGCGGTTGAGACTATCTTGAAGCGCGTACCTGTCTGCATCAGATCTGATGGGTCTCCACAGCTTAACATCGTCAGCAAACATGATGGCGCTGCATCCCAGGTCGTCGACGCAGTCGTCAATGTAAACCAGGAATAGCAACGGTCCTAAGACGGAGCCCTGGGGTACACCATTTAGAACGGGAGTAGGAGTTGACCTTGAGGCCTCAATGCACACGGTATGGTATTTGCCGGTAAGAAAATCTGTTATTTATGTCAGCAGCCTTCCTCTTATCCCAATTCCAGAAAGTTTGTAGATTAGGCGTTTGTGTGGGAGGCTGTCGAACGCCTTATAAAGTCTGTGTATATGACATCAACCCTCCCATCCTCGTCCAGTGCGCGAGTCCACTGCTCCGTCGAGAGCAGTAAACTGGAAAGACACGAGCCGTTCTGTCTGAAGCCGTGCTGCAGGTCTGAGATTAAATGGGCCTGCTCCAGGAACTCCATAGTTGCTTTCTTAACTATGGCCTCCATTATTTTACAGCAGATGCAGGTGAGACTAACAGGCCGGTAATTGTTAGCATTAGTGCGAGTCCCGCCCTTGTATATCGGAAAGATATTTGCTGTCTTCCATTCCAATGGCGACCTCCCTAATTCGAATGACGAGCGGAAGATGTGAGCCAGTGGTTTGGAAAGTTCATTCGCCAGTTCCTTCAAGAATTTGGCCGGTATATTGTCCGCACCCGAGGACTTTGCTTCCTTGAGATTTTTCAGCTCCTTCTGCGCGACTGCTGTCGGGAACAGTATGGAGTCAAGCACGCGGTCAGCAGTCTCAACAGCATTGTTAGCACTGCGACTGCGAAACTCTGGTTCTCTAGGAAAAACGGAGGCAAAATACTGTCCTAAGTGTTCGGATTTCCCGCTGTTCTCAGTGATCTCTACACGATTACCATCCTTCAGCACCGCGACCGGGTCCTTATTTTTCAGTCTACTGTTAAGATAGTGAAATAAAATCTTAGGTTTCTGTTCAGCCTGTCGGATAATTTCGGATTCATACTCCTTCCGTGCCTGACGGATACATTTTTGACGGCATTTCGTTGACGACGAAATTCTTCGAAATGCGCTGGTGACGCAGTTTCCCTGAACATTTTCCATCTTTTGCTTTTCTTCCGTAGCTGCCTATTTAGGTCCCTAGTTAACCAAGCAGGTCGACTAGTTGTTTTTTGTGCTTTAGTTGGACAACAGCGCCTAATCAGATCGAGTGAAATCGTCTTAAAAGATATCCAGTCGTCCTCGGAATCTCCCCTGAGTATTTGGTCCCAATTCACGGACAGCAATTCGTTCTTCATCATATTAAAATCTGCCTTCCAGATATTAGGTTGGCCCTCGATTCTCTTCTGGCGTTTAGAGAAGAGCGAGTAATCCCATAGTAGCGTAGTATGGTCACTTTTCCCGAGAGGTGCATTCAAATACACTTCGTCGATATTAGAGAAGTCTTTAGTGAAAACTAGGTCTAGAAAATTTGCTCTCTGGTTCTCTCGAAATGTTGTTGGTACTTTCACATGTTGCGCCAGAGTGTGAGGTCCAGTAGCTTATTGCTGAAAGAGGCCGGTCCACCATTAACTGCCATAGTTTCCCACTCTATTGCAGGTGCTTTGAAATCCCCAGCAATAAGTACTTCTTGGTGGCTAGCTACGTATTTGACTAAACCAATGAGCGACTCATCAGCTCCACTCGGAAGGTTTGGTGGTCTGTAAATCTTAATGCTTTGTTCGTGGACTGGGGACGGGGTCCTGTGTAGTACGCACTGACTGGCTGTTTAACCTTGTTAGTCACAGCGCCGCAGTCCGCGTCTTGTCGTTTTGACACAGAGTGCGATAGCTATTAGGAGGACGGGAGGTATTGGTCAGGGGAAGATTGAGTTCCGCACTGACCTGCAGGAAGAAAACTCTGCAACTCTTGCAGCTGCCGATCACGAGCACCTCTTTCCAGACGGCATGGCATGTTCCAAAGCGAGTACTGAAGTCATCGGGGACCAACAGTCTTCGAGTCTTCGACAAGGTCGTTAGAACGGCGTGCAGATCTTTATAAAAACTGTCCTTCCCGTCATCGGAGTTGGTCACTTGGGGAATGAGAGTTGACGATTATGACAAATTTGTTCCCACAGAGTGACAATCTCATGGCCATGAGACGATCAGTTACGCCTTACGGGCGCAGGTAACTCGTTCCACGACGTCGGTTCCGAAGGTGGAAGTGATTCCGGCGTCTCATCAGTCTGTCTCTGGACGTCCGCTCCATTAAAGCATGCATGCTGCGCCCACCTAATCCAGTTGTCCAAATAGGAAATGTGGGTCTCCCGAAGAGCCACAATGCCCACTTTGTGCAGGACCAGATCCTGGCGATCAATGCTATCCTCCTTTACGGCCGGTTTGTCATTGGGTTGTCTAGAGGGGAACGGACATTGGAAGCTAGCAGAATGACACTGCACAACCTGGCGACCTGTGGGTGGGAGCGGGGAACGGTGATAAGAATTCTGTGTGTTTTCGTTTTCGGATCTGAATCTTTTGCATCTGCCAACCGCAGCCAGCTTGCAGGGGAAGTGTTTCACCAGCAGTTTTTCTGCAGTTTCTGCAATTCGCATTTTGGAAGTATACCTGTCGTAAGCGTGTCTTATCTTTATTACATTCAAATTCTGCTGGAATTCGGCCATTAGCTCGGTTACAAAGATGAGACCAAAATTCGCCGGTCGTCGAAGTCTCTCTGTCCCTGTACTTACATTTTACTTTGGTTAATCCCGTTTGCAAAACACAACCGGTCACTAAAAACCGTCTTATTGCTAAGCCACTCACCTTAGCCGCGTTGCATAAATGTGTTGATTTTATGATGCCGTTCGGTCCACGTCGCTCAATCCTTAGTTAACATTTTAACAGTAGTATTTCCGACGTGCATCTTAGAACTGTTAATGTCTTGACTCGCTCGGATGTTAGTGAAGCCTGTGATTGGTAAGATGATAATTTAACTTTTCTTTGAAATATTTCCTTGGTCCAGACAGCCAAAGAGAGTTGCCACAGACTTTCTTTCCAAATATGACGGGGAGGAATTTTCACAAGAGATGACAACCGTGTCATGGCTCTCTGGCCCTCAGTCGATCGACAGGTGCAGTGACCTCCCAGCCTCATTATCCGTACTGAGACTTAGTCTGGGTAGAATGATCAGTCATGTCGGTGAACGCGGATCACAAGCAGATCTAATGACAATGAGTCAAATTGCTGAGTGATAATTGCGTCAAGAACCCACAATTTCGACCCCCCCCCCAACGACGAATGCGGGAGCCGCCAGTTATATAAGGCATGAGGTTACGCGGAGCCTGTGGTCTAGAAATACTGCATTCCTTGTGTCTCCATCACCCTTATATTTGACTTAATCTGACGATGGGTTAGAGTAAGAACTCAAAAAGCCGGGTCAATGAACCTCTTGTTCCAGCGATTGCATTTTCTTTCTCTTAAAAATCACCTAATATTTTCGTCGTGCAATGGTATATCTTCTTAAAGCGTGATGTCATGTTTCCCACCATTCACCACATGCAAAATTTTTTTCCACTCTCGCAGAAGTTCTGCGGACTCCGAGCATAATAAATGTACTTTTTACTGAAGATCTTATCCTAAAAATTTAGAGACATTAAACGAGCCGAAATCTTCAGGACCAGATGAGTCAGCATCCAAACCTCTCAAAGAATTTCGCAGTAGGCTTTCTATATCTCCGCGAATAATCTTTCAAATGTCATTTTACACCAGAACACTCCCTGCTGATTGGAAGCGAGTGCATAGATCTCCTCTATATTAAGACGGTATTTGGGTGTCAGCGAGGAATTACAGGCCCATAAGCTTGCTGTGCATTCTCAGCAAAGTTATAAAGAGGATCACGAAGAACGAATTTGTGCGATTCCTAGAAGTTAACAACTTATTACCGAACTGTCAACACAGGTTCCGGAAGGGATATTCCGGCACGACAGACTTGCTGCAATCTCACCAGATCAGGACCCATGCTCCCGAGGATAGAGACGCGGTTCACATTGATATCATTGATTTTCAAAAGGCGTTCACACGATGTCACATCAGAGACTGTTATACAAGATGAGGAGGATAGGTACCATATGTGTTAGGACGGCCCAGAACACGACGCAACGTTTCTGTCTTCCGGGGGTCGCGCCTGACAAAGAACCGCAAACTCGCCGGACAGCCTCGGCTAGGAAGCCCGCATGCGAGCCAGACATTAGCACGCCGCTGAGTCATGCGCTACCTCCAGGGGCCAGTAACACGCGAGGGCCTGCCCTTGCGGGCGCTCAGGACTGGACCAGTAGGAACACGCAAACCAGACAAGGGCTGAACCCTTAAGTACGAAGCCACGGACGGAAGGATTAAGAGTTGATGTACACAGAGTGACTGACGCAGTAAAGCTGTTCTCTCCTATCCTGTCTGTCTTCTATTTCGCACAGAACTGGCGTTATACTAATTGGGGATATAACAAGGTGCGACGCAGGTGAACACAGAAAATGATCAGTGAAGAACAGATGCAGAAATTGTTGGAAGCACAGCAAGCCAGTTTTATGGCTCTTCTCGCAGGAATGCAGAAGGACTGGAAGCAGACAGGAAACTATGACAGAAGGAAGTGGCTGGAGGACAGGATCACGGAATTCACTTAGGACCCGGACGACGGTTTTACGTTCGATATGTGGTTCAGAAAATACGAATTACTGTTCGAAAGAGAGTGGAAAAGTCTTGCTGACGGAGAAAAAGTGGAAATTCTGTTGCTGAAACTTGGACGAATGGAACACGAGAAGTATGTCAAATTCGTCCTACCGAAGAAACCGGCCGAAATCGAATTCACGGAGACGGTGAGAAACCTGAAAGTTTTATTCACCTATTCAAAGTCATTGTTTAACAGACGTTTTGAATGTTTCAAATTGGAGAAGATGGTAGACGAAGACTATTTTGATTTGGCAGGCAGACTAAATGATATGTACCAACAGGCTGATCTAGAGAAGGCAACAGCAAACCAGGTTAAGGCCCTGTTGTTCATAAAATCACTTACTCTACCGGAAGATGCGGACATACGCACACGGCTGCTGTCCAAACTGGATCATGATGGTGACACGACTCTATAGAAGTTAGAAGATGAATGTTTTAAACTCAGGAACATTAAACAGGATACAAAGTTGATTGGCGAAACAAACAGTCAACAGCTACAGGTGTTGGACATTAGAAAAAACTGGCCGCCACAGAGAGAAACATTTCCCAGAAGACCAAAGACTGCCTGCTGGCAGTGCGGTGGATGGCACTATGTCGTCGACTGCCCCTATAAAACGCAGAAGTTTTTCAAGTGTTCCAGATTTGGCCACAAATCGACATACTGCAGAGCAGGACGGCCTGTGCCGAGGCGCCAGACTATCTTGCCTTTCCCTACCTGTTCCTCATTCTTGAACTTACTGGTTGTTTAACTGAATGGAATGAACACAACTCGGCGCGACGCGCTCGGCATGAGTGGGATTGTCAGGTCGTTTGACTTTTGATTATTAATTCTTCCATTACTCTGGTCTTATCCTGAGTTTTATAGTCTGGGATTGACGGTTCTGTCTTTAGCGCTCGCCACAGTGGTGACCCTTTGACGTTCAGGCTTGTGCCTTTAATTAGTCGACTTTCTATTTGCATACCGCCCGTTTGCCTTCTTTCTTTCTACAAGCATGTCCTCTACGAATTCCAACGATCCCACTTCTTCTCTTAGTGGACTTGTTTCTTCCCTCCCAGACTTTTGGCAACATGCGCCAGAGCTTTATTTTTTCCGTATTGAGGCGACTTTTCACTCCGCCAAGATAACACGTGAAACCGACAAGTTTTATAAGCTGGTCGAGGCCCTCCCTCCCACCATTCTTTCTCAAGTGCAGACGCTTCTGAGAGATCCCCCGACTGATGCTCCTTACACCAAGTTAAAGGCTGAACTTCTTCGCCGGACATCAGTCTCCGATCGGCAGCGTTATCACGCACTAGTAAAGGAGGAGGCCTTAGGTGATCGCAAGCCGTGGGAACTCTTGCGTCGCATGCGTTCTCTGGTTGGGAACATGAAAATCGACGACAAGTTCTTTAAAGAGATGTTCTTAGAACGTCTGCCGACGTCTGTACAAACAATCTTGGCCTCTAGCTCCGACGACCTAGAAATATCAAAGTTAGCGGAGATGGCTGACCGTATGATGGAGGTTGAGCGTTTGTCATCCCCGACGATTGCTCAGGTGTCCCAGCCTCTCAACGTGTCCACCTTTGACCTTGCTGAACTAAAGACGCAGATTGCCCAGTTGTCAGCGACTGTTGCCGGTTTGCAGCTGCGCCGATCCCCCGCTCCCTCTCGACGTTCCTTCGGTCGTGACCGTCGTAGTTCCCGCTCTCGCCCCAGGACCGCCAACCTATGTTGGTATCATGTCAACTATGGCGATAAGGCGCGGTGCTGTGTCCCACCCTGCTCCTTCAAGTCCACGCAGGGAAACTCCTCGGCCGGAGAGTAAATGCGGCCGAGCTCTCTGGCATCTCTACGGGTCGCACATTTTACGTGAGTGATAACACGAGTGGCAGGCATTTTTTAGTCGATACTGGCGTTCAGATTAGTGTTATCCCTCCCACGCCAGCCGACCGACGTTGCCCAAACCATGGTCTTTACCTTCAGGCCGTAAACTCGTCCCCCATTACAACCTTTGGATTTCGATCCCTCTCCCTGGATATTGGCCTCCGGCGATTATTCCCCTGGATATTTGTGGTTGCTGATGTTCCCACTGCTATCCTTGGTGCTGACTTTTTGGCCGCCTTTGACCTTCCGGTGGATTGCAGACAACTTCGCCTCCATGATCGCGCAACTACCCTCACTGTCAAAGGATTTCCACCATCCTCAGTTTCTAACCAGCTCTCCGTCCTTGACCCAAACCCTGACTGTCCATTTCGTAGACTTTTAGCAAAATATCCTACCCTCACTAAGCCCCATTTTTCTGACACCTCATTTACCCATGATATTGTTCATCACATAAAAACGACTGGTCCTCCTGTTTTTTCTCGTCCCCGCCGCCTTGCTCCCGCGCGTCTTGCGGATGCTAAAGCAGAATTTGACCACATGCTGCAACTAGGGATTATTCGACAGTCTGACAGTCCCTGGGCATCTCCTTTGCACATGGTTCCTAAGCCAAATACGGATGATTGGCGTCCTTGTGGCGATTATAGAGCCCTAAGCAATATCACTATGCCCGATCGGTACCCCGTTCCTCATCTTCAGGACTTTGCTGGAGCCCTTTTCGGCAACACCATTTTCTCGAAGATCGATTTGGTGCGGGCTTTTCATCAAATTCCGATTGCGGCTGAGGACATTCCCAAAACGGCAGTGACGACTCCTTTTGGCATGTTTGAGTTCCTTCGTATGCCATTTGGTCTCCGAAATGACTCACAGACTTTCCAACGTTTCATTGACCGTGTTTTACGCGGCCTTCCATTTGTTTAAGCGTATATTGGTGATGTTCTCGTCGCCAGTCGAGATGTCGAGGAACATCTCCATCACCTTACCCTGCTTTTCGACCGATTTCAGCAGGTTGGTGTCATCCTGCATCCTTCCAAATGTGTCCTAGGAGCCACTTCTCTTGAGTTCTTAGGTCACCTGATAGACGCAAACGGCATTCGGCCTCTTCCCTCAAAAGTTGCCGCCATTCGGGACTTTCCACCCCCTACCTCGAAGCGTCAGTTGCAACGCTTTCTTGGTATGGTGAACTTTTATCGCCGGTTTCTCCCAAACTGTGCCGACACCATCCTACCTCTGACCAGTCTCCTCTCTGGTTCTAAGCGCATCTTTGAACTTACATCAGCCGCACTCACGTCATTTGAGCAGGTAAAAGCCCTTCTGGCTGACGCCACCCTCCTGACTCACCTTCACGCTGATGCACCCATATCTTTGATGGTCGATGCCTCCAATGTTGCTGTTGGCGCGGTTCTTCAACAAAGTCTGCCGGATTCTACCGTGCCTTTGGCTTTCTTCTCCAAGAAACTATCCAAAGCCGAAACCCGCTACAGCACATTCGGACGTGAACTTCTCGCCGCTTATCTTGCCGTAAGGCACTTCCGGCATTTACTCGAAGGTCGAGAGTTCACAATTTTCACTGATCATAAGCCACTCACGTTTGCAATGCATTCCCACTCTGACAAGCTAAGCCCCCGGGAGATCCGCCACCTGGACTACATTTCGCAGTTCACTTCAGACATCCGCCATATTGACGGGTCAAGGAATGAGGTGGCTGACGCACTGTCCAGGCCCTCTATTGCTCACCTTCAGCTTTCACCCGGGATAGACCTCGCTGAGATGGCCGCTGAACAACGCCGTGTCGGTCCACCCTGTGATGAGGATGGTTCCGGACTCCAACTTCAGGAACTACCACTGACAACTGGCAACGACACCATCTTATGCGACGTATCCACCCCTTCCCATCGTCCATTTGTGCCTCCATCTCTCCGCCGCAAAGTTTTCTCCTCCCTGCGCAATCTGTCTCACCCCGGGAGTCGAGCAACCGACAAGCTGGTTTCCGACCGCTTCGTCTGGCCTGGCATGCACAAGGATCTCAAGGCATGGACACGGACTTGCATCGCCTGTCAACGGAGCAAGATCCAGCGGCACAACAAGGCTCCCATTGGTACCTTCCCCGGCCCTGGTGCAAGGTTCAGCCACGTTCACCTGGACATTGTAGGCCCCCTGCCTCTGTCCAATGGTTGTTCCTGTCTCCTCACCTGCGTGGATCGGTTCACTCGGTGGCCTGAAGCAATTCCCCTGCCTGACATTGCTGCTCCAACGGTGGTCAAGGCTTTTCTCAGTCGTTGGGTTGCTATCTTTGGTGCACCCTCCACAATCACGACTGACCTTGGTGCCCAATTTGAGTCTTACCTCTTCCAGTCTTTACTCTACTTTTTACGCTGTACCCGCATCCGGACGACAGCCTATCACCCGGCTGCTAACGAGATGGTCGAGCGGTTTCACCGCCAGCTGAAGGCCTCTCTAGGCGCTGCGGCCGATCCGGAGAACTGGACGGACCACCTTCCTCTGGTCCTCTTGGGCTTCCGCTCCGCTCTGAAGCCGGACCTTGATTGTTCCGCAGCTGAACTGGTGTTCGGCTCCACCGTCCGACTCCCCGGTGAGATGATCTTGCCAAGCCCTCAAGGTGCAGTTCAGGATCCTACCAACCTCCTGCATCGCCTCCGGCAGTTTATGCGGACACTTTCTCCGGTTCCTCCCAGGTCCTCAACCTCTCCGTCTTATCTGGAGAAGGACTTGACAACGTGCTCTCACGTCTACCTTCGATGTGATCGAGTCCGCCGGCCTCTGAAACCGCCCTATGACGGCCCATTTCGGGTGCTCTCTCGCGGGCCGAAGACTTTCCGCATTCATCGCGACAATCGCGAAGAGGTCGTGAGTGTGGACCGCCTCAAGGCTGCCGTCCCTGACACTCCTCCGGATGAGCCCTGTGGTCCTCAACCTTCTGCTTCTCCCCACGGAGCCTCTATTCCACCGTCCCGTATTTTCCCTCTGCCCTCCTGTCCGCCATCTCCGACTGCCGCCACCAACTCCAACACTTCCGCCACCAGATTTATTAACTCTTCTACGGACCCTGTATATACCACTCGTAGTGGTCGTCAAGTACACTTTCCTGATCGATTGGTCACGCATTTCTTTTAGACCTCTACACATCCTTCGGCGTCGTTTTCGCCGGCCTCCGGTCTCGGAGGGGGGTACTGTGCCGAGGCGCCAGACTATCTTGCCTTTCCCTACCTGTTCCTCATTCTTGAACTTACTGGTTGTTTAACTGAATGGAATGAACACAACTCGGCGCGACGCGCTCGGCATGAGTGGGATTGTCAGGTCGTTTGACTTTTGATTAGTAATTCTTCCATTAATCTGGTCTTATCCTGATTTTTATAGTCTGGGATAGACGGTTCTGTCTTTAGCGCTCGCCACAGGCCAAGTCCCAGGAAACAGTGCAACGCCGTTTCTGATGGTGAGGCACAGGTTCTAGGCTGTGAACACCGAAAATACCTAACCGTGATCATAAATGAGAATGCCGTCAGACTTCAAGTGAACACAGCGTCTGATCTAACGATTATAGCGGTAGAAACATGGCAGATGATAGGAGCACCCAGTCTTATCCCAAATCCTGTCACTACAAGGGCATCAAACGGCACGGAAATGAAATTCAAGGGATGTTTTTCAACTAGTATCGGATTTGGAGATAAAAATTGTCTAGCAGACGTCTTCGTATCGGAGTGTCCGGTCGATCTCCTGGGAAATAAGGCAATCTCCGAGTTGGGGTTATGGAGTCAGCCATTTGACAGAATCTGCTGCGCAGTACAAGAAACGGAACAGAATCTGCGGGAGAAGTATGCAAAAATGATGGAAAAGTCAGTCGGGAAATGTACCAAAACGAAAGCAGTTTTACGCATGAAACCAAACAAGAAACCATTTTTTAGGCAATGTAGTCGAGTTCCGTTTGCAATCCAGGAAGACGTGGAGAAAGAGTTGGAACGTTTGCAAGAGAAAGGTATAATCTACCCCACAAATTACTCCGCATGGGCTGCCCCAATTGTAGCGGTTAGGAAGCCAAATGGGAACTTAAGACTGTGTGCTGACTATTCAACGGGTTTAAACGATGTTTTGGAGGATTACCATCATCCTCTACCGACGGTGGAGGAAATTTTTGCCAAGTTAAATGGTGGAAAGTCATTTGCACGAATTGATCTTTCAGAAGCCTATTTACAGATAGAAGTGGAGGAGGAATCACAGGAGCTACTGACGATCAACACTCCAAAAGGTTTATTCAAGTTTACGCGGCTAAATTACGGCATAAAAACGGCTCCGAGCATTTTCCAGCAGGTCATGGATACAATGCTTACGGATACGCAGGGAGCGGTTGCGTACTTAGACGACAGTCTAGTAGTTGGTCGCTCGGAGGAGGAATTACTAGAAAGGCTGGACAAAGTCATAGAGAACCTCGTCAATTATGGATTTAAAATTAACATGCAAAAAAGCGAATTTTTGCGGAAAGAAATTCACTACCTCGGATTAATAATAAATGCAGACGGAAGAGCACCGGACCCCGAGAGAGTGCTGGCATTTCAGAGCATAAAAACCCCACAGAATGGAAAGGAATTACAATCCTTAATGGGTCTTGTGAGTTACTACGGGCCGTTCATAGAGGGGCTTCACAGTTTGAAGGGACCTTTAAATCAACTTTCGTGCAGGGATACCCCATTTGTCTGGTCAGAGGAGTGCCAAGCAGCTTTTATGACGATAAAGGCTAAGATAAATCATTCGATAATGCTCTCCCATTTTGAGTTGAGAAGTGAAACGATCGTCCAGGCCGATGCCTCTGACTATGGACTGGGTGCAGTCTTGCTTCAAAAGAATGTGGATGGAAAAGTTCAGCCTCTAATGTATGCTGCGAGATCACTGACGAAAGCAGAAAGAAATTGCAGTCAGATAGAAAAAGAGGCTTTGGCTATAATCTTTGCTGTCCAAAGATTTCATCAGTTTATATATGGCAGACATTTCACTTTACACACGGATCATCAGCATTGAAGTTTCTTTTGGGGACAAACGCTGGCATACCGCAGACGGCAGCGAAACGGATTCAGCGATGGGCAAAAATCCTCTTGAACTATGACTTCATCATTCAGTACATACCCACTCAGAAATTTGGAGCCCCAGACGCGTTGTCGAGGTTAAGCGAAGATAAAGAAAGTCGGGAAGAGGTAGTAGTAGCACAAACTCTGGTCCAAGATGACGCAGAACTTAGGGAAGCTATTCGACAGGTTCCCATCACAGCCGAGCACATCAGAGCTGCAACAATGGACGACCCACTACGACGCCAGGTTAAGGAATTCATACTGCGTGGCTGGCCCGATGAAGACAGAACTCACGCATGTATTAAGGTTTTTAAGAATCGAAAGGATCAGTTGTACATTGTGCAGGACTGTTTAATGTACGATTGCCGAGTGATTGTGCCGGCTAAATATAGGGCACAAGTATTGCGAGAGCTACATGCTGGACACCCGGGTATAACGTGGATGAAACAGCTAGCAAGAAAGTACGTTTACTGGCCAGGAGTAGACGAAAATATTGAAACCTTTGTCCGTAGTTGTGGCCCGTGTGGACGTTTCGCAAACAACCCCCCGAAAATCCCACCAGCGTCGTGGCCGGAGGCCACGAAACCCTGGAGTAGGATCCACCTGGACTACGCGGGTCCCTTTTGCAACAAGATGTTTCTCATTGTGGTTGACGCGTGGTCGAAATGGCTAGAGGTTTTCGAGATTCCAGTAATCACGGCGGAAAACACGGTGCGGAAAACTGAGGAGTTAATCTCGAGGTTTGGAATCCCGACAGAGATTGTGACAGATAATGGGACCCAGTTTACCTCAAGCACCTTTCAACAAATGTGTCAAAAATGGTGGATCAAACACATAAGGTCGCCGCCTTTCCATCCTCAATCCAATGGACAGGCCGAAAGGTTTGTAGGCACATTCAAAAGAGCAATGAGAAAGATGTGGAACACAGGCGTCAAGATGGAGCACCTAAACACATTTCTGTTGGCCTATCGAACGACGCCTAAGACGGAGTTAGGTGGATCAACTCCGGCAAAAAGATTTCTGGGCAGACAACCCGATGTGTGTCTGCAATATCTGAAACCTGTGGTCCGAGAGGTTCAGCCGCGAAAATCCTGTTTCGTGGAGGGAGAAGAAGTATACGTACGGGATTACGTTCCAGGAAGGGAACCGTGGATAGAGGGTATAATCAAAAGGACCCATGGTGTAGTTTTTGAAGTTGAGACAAGTCGAGGACGTGTGAGAAGACACGCGAACCAATTGAGACACCGAATGACGTCAGACAACCAACTGGCCATGGACCTACTTTGTGAAACTTTCAGTATCCCGACTCCGAAGGTTGAGGTTCCAAATGTGGTCCAGGCCCCTAGGCGATCCTCTCGAACTAGACGCCCTCCGAACAGACTTATGATCCGCCCAAATTGTCGAACATACGAGGTCCACTCTTTAAAAGCGGGAGGTGTTACGACGGCCCAGAACACGACGCAACGTTTCTGTCGTCCGGGGGTCGCGCCTGACAAAGAACCGCAAACTCGCCGGACAGCCTCGGCTAGGAAGCCCGCATGCGAGCCAGACATTAGCACGCCGCTGAGTCATGCGCTACCTCCAGGGGCCAGTAACACGCGAGGGCCTGCCCTTGCGGGCGCTCAGGACTGGACCAGTAGGAACACGCAAACCAGACAAGGGCTGAACCCTTAAGTACGAAGCCACGGACGGAAGGATTAAGAGTTGATGTACACAGAGTGACTGACGCAGTAAAGCTGTTCTCTCCTATCCTGTCTGTCTTCTATTTCGCACAGAACTGGCGTTATACTAATTGGGGATATAACAACATGTTACTTCCTTGTGAGCCGGCATCAGGTTGTGTCCATCGGTCGAAAAGTCAGAGTCTACTTTGGTCGATAATGATGTTTCCTAGGGTTCAGTACTGGGGCCCACTTTGTTCATGGACGGTTGCACGAGATATTCTGACTGCAAAGCAGTAGCGTATGCTGACGAGGCAAGAACTGAGTGTGATCCGGAGCCGTGCCAACGAAGACAAACTGCAGATCAACCTAAATCAATTGAAAGATTGGTAAGATCTCAGATGCATTCGATTCAGCGTCTGTAAACGTAGTATATTTTATCTGGAAAATACAGCTAGATCCGCCAGCACAAGCAGCTACTTTTTCGATGGTACAGCTCAAAGACACGCGGAAGCCCAAGAGGACCTCAGTGTACTGATGACAAACTCCTCAACATAATGTGCTTATTTTTTGAGAAATGCAAAAATCGTACGGCACTTGTTGCACGCCGTCAGGCGAACAATTGTGGATTGTGATAAGGGCCTTTCTTTTAATATCTTTGGAACGTTTGTGAGACGGCAATTGAAATTAGGTGTGTACATAATCCTCCTCATTGCTCCGGTAATAGCAGCCAGCTCTCTGAACTCTGAAAAACTGCAGGTACTCCATTTGATGTCAAAATAGTCGTAAGCGATTTCATTTTGCTGGAAATTGACTGATTTTGAAGAAGGAGACACGATCGCCGGGACAAGAGCTTTATTAGCCTGACGTTGCGGATTCCTACTGGAATCCATCATCAGAGACAAAAGAGCAGAAACGGGTGGTTGTTGCACAAGGGGCTGCGGTATTTATAGGATGCCGCAGCCATGCCACCGCATGCCTATGAACGTTCACGGCTTCCCCCTTCATCCGGGATTGTCACACTTGGGGTGATCATTGCTTGATGGCCGACATTCGAGTCGATAATTGCCGCAATTTCATCACGTGCGTTGGATGTTGGCGTGATGATTGCTCAACCATCTGATGCGTTGACCCGGGTGTTGGGAAGAGTGTTCACCAGTGCGCTCCCCGCGTGGCGACGGGTCTTCAAATCCAATGGCTACCCGCGCAACTTCGTCGACCGGTGCATACGCAAAAGGGACGAAAGGCCTAACCGCACGGACACCAAATCTTGGCGGGCACTTCCGTATGTCAAGAACGTTTCGGAAGCTGTCGGCCGCCTTCTCGCACCACTTGGGGTTGGAGTGGCACACAGACCGGAGGCAACCATCAGGCGTCTGATCATGAAACCGAAAGA